GACTGACATATATCTAATATCTATTTTGATAATTTTGTGACATTTAATAAAGCATAACGTTATTACAGCGCAGTGATGTTGTGCTAAGTTATAGTTTGAACACACCGTAACTTTAGTCCTGCTAGTGTTTACAGCTAACAGCTGATGAGAGTCGTTCTGGGTCTGCTTCAGAGCCCTGACAGGGTTCTACCGGGAGCTGAATTACCTCCGAGGTCGTCTCCTCTCCAAAACAAACCGACTCATTAAACCATTAAAACACAGCCACATAGCAGTGTTAGCGTTAGCCCTGTGGTTTGTTTACAGCTAACAGCTGATCCGGTCCGCCAGAGCACGCAACGTAACTTTTACTTTTTATTTATCGACAGAGCCGTGCTGATGTTTCACCGCTCCTCACTGGTGAACAACCTGCAGTGTTTGAGATTAAATTATTGAATTTGTTAAATTTTAATAAGTGTGTTTTATTCATCTAGTGTGTCAAGCTTATTACTTCAATATATTCCCTGTAAATCTGATGTTAATATGTAGATTTTACTCCTGGATAGGCGTTAGGCTGCTGTATGAATGAGCACTTTAGAGATATAGGGATAGTAAATATAATTATATATATATATATGGCTGGTCTGGTAGTATACTCAGGAAAGATTGTGAAAATTCAGCCGGAGTAGTGGATTAATCAAATATTGACAACATATTTCTGTGGTTTTTCCATGGTTTGAATTTGTTTGTGTCTCCATGGGGCTTTATAGAACCATGATAGAGAAAGATAAAGAGGTGAATTTGTGCATTATACTTTGTCAATTAGAGCAAGCCAGGCAGCCTTCTGTGTTTGAGAACTGCGCTGTTTTTTTAAAAATCGCCCACTAGAGGGCTGCAGCGCCGCAATAACCAGCCTAGTTAAAATGGACGAAATGAACGAAATGACACAAAAACGATTAGTTAATTTTAATGAACGAGATTTGGTGACTCGAGTCTTTCAAAACAGTGACTTTTACCATCACTACAAATCATCGCCATATGGGAGCAGACCTATCAAGAACGTAAAGTACTGGGCTTTTTTAAAGCAGAAAGCATCAGTACTGGACATTCCAGTCCAGTACTGATGCTTGGACTATGAATTTGTCTGCTGCAGTGAATCCTAGTTCCAGCTGTTGGTGTTCCATTGTGACTATTTCTGATCAACACAGAGCAACATGGACCTTACTAGTGTAGCTAAACAAAGAATTTCTGCAGTTCTGAAAGCCATTGAGGCCAATTTAAAGTGTGAAGGTAAGACATAATTGAACTGACATCTCCCTCCCTGGAAAGCTTCCAAACTGCGTTTCTTTTTACTTTTCAAAACATCATAGAAATCATGATTGTGATCCAGGGTCATGATGGGACTATATTTGCAAACAAGTCATCAAAACATCACTGACAGAATGAATCAGAGAGCGAGCTGATAGAGGAATTGAAATTTGAAAAGTGAACTGAGTTGTGAGAACAGCAATTTCCTTCCTCACACCAGCAGCACAGAGACCTTTGTCCGCTGAATAACAATCATATTTCAAGTTGAAACAGAATCGGTTATTGTGTGCTTCCAGGAGAAAGGCCCTCCTTATAAGAAGCAGCTTTACACCATGCAGGCCCACATGGTGGGAAAGGAAGACTGGATGAGACTTGATGGGTAAAAGCATTTGGGTCCAAAGGGACGGGCGTGTCTGCAGAGATGTACCTGTCTGATGTGGAAAAGTGGCACTTGAGAAATCAGACTGTGTATGGTATTGATTGCCAGTCTTCTCTACCTCCGGCCCAGCCTTTGTTACTTGGAACATCACAGGGGCCACGAGCGGGAAGGGATAAATGGAGGAAGATCATAAGCACACAAGTCCTTACACCTTCAAACACCCCAACACCTGACAAAATTCTGGGTTTTAAAAGGCCCATGCCAAAGAAAATAACAGGCAAAATAATAGGGTTGGTATTTTTAGTGAGTACAGTGAGCTGCAGCTGGATTCATATTATGCTTCACAGTAGCAGTTTCCATTTAAATGAACAGAACGATCCTACGGCAAGCCCTTCTATTGACCAGGAAGGATCAATAGTGAGCGAGTGCGTAGTGAATATGTGTTTGTCAGAATGTAAAATTACATAGAACACACATAACACCTTCCAACTTCCTTAAGCCCATTTATTTCTACTGAAGACGTAACTCTTTAGTGGGTAAGTGGGCAAAGTCGATGCACTGGTGGCCTGGGGGTTAAAGGATGGGTTCACAATTTTCAAGTCTGTATTCGCAATAGCAATAGGTGCCCATATGAATATTAAAAAATAAGTTTTTGCTTGCTGTAACCATTCTTCCATTTCAGTGTCCGTAAAGGGTTCACAAAATCCATGTTTTCTCTCAGAAAAGGCTTCATAAGTTTATCTGAAGCTAATGAGGCTTCAGCAGTCTGAGCATGTCAAATGAAGTCGATGATATCTTCCGGGTGGTCCCTTGTAGCTACCTATGGCATGTATGACCTGTGTGGTTTATTTTCACAAATAACTTCTGATGTTGATGGTGCAGTGAATGAGACACATGCCTTTGGTGTAAGAGACCAATCCACCAATGTGTCCCTGAGCAAGACACTTAACCCCTAGTTCCTCAAGAGATGTGCGACCTCTGACATAAATAGCAATAGTAAATCGCTTCGGATAAAAGCGTCAGATAAATGAATAAATGTAATGTAATGTCACAGTTTGCTCTCTGTACCCTCCTCTGACTCCCCGGACCTGCCATCCTCTAGCTTTCCACCAGATGCCCTTGGACTCCTTTCCTTTCCTCTTTTTGAACAACATGTTTCCTTGAAACAGTGTGCAATGGAGCATAATGATCTTGGATGTACGTTTTCTCCTGTTTGGTGGGAGTGACAGAGGTGTTACTTTAGTTACTTGTTGGGGCTGTTCTCACTTCTCTGCCCTGTAGTTGCCTGGCCTTCTCTGTCCATTCCTTTCCTGCAGCTAATTCTCCCATCAGCCGCTCAGCACCTATACCCGTTCACTTCTGTCAGTTCATCTTGTTTGCTATCTGCCTTAGTTAGTTATTCTGTTTGTCAGCCGCCTGTTTACTGTGGTCCTTGTAGCTTGCGGGATTTTTGCATCACATGGACTTACATCTGCCTGTCTGGCTACTACCTGCTCGTTGCCAGCTTGTGTACCTACCTGCCCAGCGGTCTGCCCGCCTTTAAGCACATTATTGGACAATAATTTCCTGCATAACCCAACCTGACACCTGATCAACATTTTCACTTAACGTTTTCACTTTCGACCATATCTATGGACTTCTTCAGCAAATGGAACCTTGTTCAGGCATCATTGCATGACGGAAATTACGTCCAGTTACATTCCCTGAAGACCATAAGATACAGTGGAAAACTCGTACTACTAAAGCCTGATCCCATGATTGCCCAAGTTAAAGAATTAACGTCCCTGCTCAACACAATTAAATAGTTTTATTTTTACCACAGCCTTATTCCTGTTCTCAAACAGCTGCACACTATAGCTTTTATCAAATGTTACTTATTAATGTAGCAGAAGGAAATAGTTCATTTAGCGGTGGATTAATACATGTTTGGTCTAGATATTATTTACATCAGTTGGACGTGATATGTGGGACTGAGTGAGACTATCCTACGGTGTGTGTTCATGCTAATGAAGGAACATGTCACCCAGTGCAACAGTGTGTTTAAGAAGTTGACTCGCCTATACAGAGCCCTGATCTCACTCCCATCCCACACCTTTTAGGATGAACTGGAATACTGAGCCAGACCTTATCATCTAACATTAGACCGCACTAATGCTCTTGTTGTCGACTGGAAGCAAATCCCTGCGGCCAGGTTTCAACAACTGTTGGAAAGCCTGAAACCAGAAGAGTGGACGCTGTTGGAGCAGAACATTAATGCCCATGGTTTTGGAATGATATGTTTAACTATGTGTGTTAATCCACCGATGGATGTAATGTATAATGTAATGTAATAGGTGTCCACATACTTTCGTGTATACATGTGAAAATGTACATGGGTACACAGTATAGCTATGTAATGTTCCAAACTACACACATATAAAAGTGTAACACTTTCCTTTTATGTAAGATGTGAATGTTTCAGTGGAAATGTCAATGCCATTAGGCTTAGTAATGATATATGTAAATGTGTTTTTGCTTTGGTAGGAGCACGGGCAAGCACATTCACTCACACACACAGCCACACTGTCACTCGTCATTGACATAATGCATTTGTCATGCCCAGCTCCTGCAGTTAGGTTACGTGTTCAGTTTAGTCTGCTACCACTTCCTGTTGTACTTCAGTGACTCATCTTGTGTCTCGTTTCAGGTCTTCGTCTGCCTTCCCTCCTGTGTGATTACCAGTCCCCACCCTAATGTGCTCCACCTGTGTCTCGTTGTCTCCCCTGCCCCAGTGTATATAAACCCTTGTTTCCTTTGTGCTTGTGCCAGTTTGTCTTGATCTCTTGTATTAGCGGTCCAGCAATTTCCTCGTGTTTGCCTTAGTGTGTTTTGACCTCAGCATCAGTTTTTGACTATGATTTCTGCCCTGCGATTTTGTACCTCTGCCTGCAAGTTTTTTGAACCTTGTTCAATAAACTGTCCATGAGTCCATTACCCCAGTGTGAGCCTTGATAGCACTTGCTAGCCCCTTACCCTAACCTTAACCATCACAACTACACGCCTACCCCTAACCTTAAACGTGTTCGAACCTGAACCCTTAATCCAAGACCCTCAAAAAGCCCTCTAAAGTTCAGGGGTCCAGCATTTGGTCCCCACAAAGCTGTTAGACCCCAAAAGTATAGTGGAATATCACTAACATAGAACCCCCCCTCTCACCACTACCACTTTTTTATATGAAAAGAAGACATTGGTAAACAGGCTGCCATTATTTTTTGGTAATTGTAGGCTAATCTTGTTTGTTTATTGCCCTCTCTTGCACACACACACCACAGGGAGAGAGAGAGAGAGTGTATGTGCACGTGCTTGTGTGCGTTTTCAATTCAGGCGCATAACAATGTAAACACATCATTTCAACTGGAATATCTACAGTCAGTGTGCCATTTTCTTGATATCACTGTGCCTTCTTTCCAGCAAACTCCTGCCACGCCTGAAACTGAATGGCACTCTCAGATCAGCGACGGCGTTCCATTTAACGCAAACAATATTTCAACATCACAAATGAGAATTTTTTTTTTCTGCAGAGCGCGCTTTTCCTCCACCTGTGCCCCCGCCTGCCAGTGCGCGCATTCACTGCATGCGGCCGCGCGCATCGCGCCTCGTGAATCCTAATAGTGAGTAGAGCCGCAGAGCTGGGTGGCATCGCTGGACGCCCGGTGCCAGACTGGAGCAGCAAGTCCATTACGAGCCGTTAGTGAGAATACAACTGCCGCCTGTCTGGGAGTGCACCAGCCCTCGCGTTTGGATACGGAGTCCATCATCAATAGATCACTGTTGCTCATGATCATCAACGTTTCATTTCTATGAGGACATTCGGCAGATCCGTATTGTCTTTTTACCAAGTTGGATCGCTTTCATCTTCTTTCTATACTGTCCACTTTTTGTTCTCAACACTGAGTCTTGCTTCAGGACAGATATTCTCTGGTGCGTCAAAGCTGCGCGGTTCGGAGTTTCCTAACCCTTTAAATGTGCAGAAAAAATGATCTCCAGTCGCTGTAAGTGTGTTTTATTGTCTTCTCATTAACAGACTTCCCACATTTAGTTTTATATTTGCACGGAAAACCTTTAATTTGGAAGAATCCGTGCAGTAGTTCTGCTCAGGGTGTGTGGGATGGAGAGCGAAGTAACCCTGCGTCAAGCTCAACACAGTTACCCTGAACACGACCGGAAATGCTGTCGTTATGTAAAGAAATTAAAAGCACAGATTAAAGAACAACTAAAACAGAACAATTAATCTAAATAGGCATGTTCAGTAAAATAATAAGGTTAGTAATTTTTCCAAATATTATCAAATTACGTGATGTTTTAAGTGGTAGGCTACACCAAAATAATAGAAGAGTTTGAGTTAAACCAATACGGACACCAATTAGATATGCTATCATCAAATTCTTATTTGGCTAGTAGGTCTCAATTTGAGAATTGGGAGTCTCTTTAAACGGTCTCTTGTATACAGTTACATCATTTGCACCTTTTGCTCTCAGTCTTTATTTGTCATCATTGACAGGGAGGTGTCACAAAATAACATTTAAACATTTGAGACTCCTGAAATTAAATCATATGTCCAATGCCTCCATTTAAGTTATGTACGCATACGTAAAAAGACACTGAAGTAAACAAAGAAGATTTCACAGCCTACACAGGAAGTCTTTTATTCCGTTTTATTATCGTCATTTATAACTTGACGCTGGTCCCTTGCAGTGACGGGGATCGGAGACTCGCCACCTGGCTATGCGAGTTTCTGAGTTGCAAGGCGTCTCCAGGTGTTGGTCTGATCCCACAGCTGCTCCACCTCATTAATCTATGCTTTCTGTTTTTCTCTTCCCACACAGGAATTTTACTGAAAAGGTCATGTGTGACTTTCCGTGGTAAGAACGGGATGCCCGCACTGTGAAACGGCGCAGGGTGGATGGATGGATGTGTCCGTTCTGGGGCGCACAGGAATAATACAGTGAACTGACAGAGAATCAGTGTTCTGATCGTCTCTTTTGCCTGGAGTTCATCCTTTTTGGCCATCTCTGGAATTGTTGCGTCTAGTGGTGGGAACGTGCAGCATTTATTCCTCAGGCTTTGATCACCTGCTATGTGTTTGGAGTGGAAAATACCTGGTGGAAGGTGTACAGCTGGATCCAGTCTGGAAGGACAGGACATTTGCTACTGATAAAACTCCGTTTCTTCTTAATTTCCTTTTTAATCTGTGCGTAATGTACGTGGAATGAAGACAGAGGATGGATATAATTTGGGAAATATTGATCCTACTCCAAGCCAATTTTATTGTCTGCATATCAGGTGAGTTATGGGCGTCATTTGTGTGTTTGTGGCAGGGGCATCACGTAAATCTAAGAATGAATTATTATTAACTTCTTGAAATCCTGTGAGGTGGCTGGGGTGGGATTTTGGGTTTGTAGGAATAACAGATTCATTCAGAAGAAATGCTGCAAAGGACACACTGTGGCAGGTGGAGAGAAAATTGCAAAATGTAGCCTACCCTAGATTGTGTGCCTGGCATGAAATATTCCTGTTGTTTTAGTCTTTGGTTACCTAAAGATCTTTAAACGCCTGTGTGGCAGTGTGTGTGTGTGTGTGTGACTGAAGACAGGACTGGATGCGCAGGCTTCTGACGCACGCATGACATGGGTGGTCTTTTTTAATGCAAGTCACAATGATTCTTTTTTTTTTTGTTTTTTTTTTGTTTTTTTTTGGTGTTTTGTTGCTCCACACATGCGCGTGTAAGCCCGAATCCGCTCTCCCTTGCCCTCCCCGTCATTATGAAGTCTGTAGAGCGAAACAATCCAATCGGAGTTATGATTTTATTTTATTTTTTTTATAAAAGCTGCACCGGTGAGAGCACGGCACTCTGCCGTGTGATGAGCAGATGCGCTGCGCCGCTGTAGGTCAAGCTGTTCTAACTGCTCTTTGCGCGCTCTGCAGGCAGATGCGTCTGAGACTTTGGCGTTAATCAGTGGAGGAATGCGTTCCCTCACTTCACTGGGTTACTTTGTAAAAGACCGATTTTATGCCGTGCTCCTGTTAGTGTGTTTTAAACTATGTTTATAGTGTTATAGTCTTACTGTTATGAAAAAAAGTCACAGTTTCACCCATTTTCACTGCGAATTGTGCAAATGTGTCCCAGTTTTTGTTTAAAAACCAACCTGCTGTTCACATGTGCCTAAAACAGGAGATGCTACAATTTGGATAAAAGTTGCAGATACAATATCGGAGTGTTTATCATTAATTTTGAAATTTATAAAGCTAAATAAATAAAAAATAAAGTACATCCGTGCTTGCTAGAGACATACATGGTGCTCATCCCTTGTATTGTATTGTACAGGCACACAAGGCTCTGTAGTTTGGCCCTCAGGTTGTCAGAGAGAAGAGGTTTGTATGTATCAACCACTCTAGGTCAGTGGCCTAGCCCCACCCTCCAGCTTTGATTGGTTTGTCCTTAAGGATAATTGAGGCAAGACAACCTGATGATTGTTATTTTTTGGGAAATTATACAGTTAATAGGTGTAAATGATTGTTTCATTAAATTCTTAATGAGGGTGTACTGTATATACTGATACTGTATGTGCCACCATCGTGGCAGACAGACAAAAGAGGAAGTGGATTAAGAAACATTTAACCTTTTAATTTATATCCATGCAGATGTCACTGTAAGACTGTTAAATAATTTGTTGAATATCTTGAGTGAACGTTCTGTAGTCGGAGGAAACAACCCTGATGATGTCATCAGTTATCTTGGTTTGGGAGAGAGTTTGGCTTCAGATTTTCGAGAGACAGCCTTTATTACCGGAGGTGTGGAGTTAGAGGCAGGGGAAGTCGAATGAAAGATGCTATTGACTTGCATTACTGGATGTGTCGGATCTCCTGTTTTTGAAGCTTGACTCATTCTCAAGGACTGAACATCAGGAAATCCAGGCCTCTGTTGTTTCAATTCTTTTTTTTTACATGCATTATATTCATTTCTATCTCATAACATTTTTATACGGTAAACATTCATTAAAAGGTGAGATTTCAGTCTTAACTCAATTTTGAGCAAATATGTATGTATTACTGTGTTTTGGCTTTGTAGGGCAGTGTACATGTTCAAACTTTCCAGACTTCTCATCCATAAAAGCTGAGCTTGATGGTTGAAAGCTCCAGAAAAGCGAGTAAGTGCGCCTTGAGTGGAGATTGTTTTGTGAACAGCTGGTTGCAAGAATGAATTGTCATTCTCAAGAGCTTGTTGGAGATTCCTCTAAAATGTTTTCTTTTTTTTTTTTTTTTTTTTTTGCAATTTGAATTCATTTCATTCCATTTCCATTTGCGGCACCGGTCATTTCTCCGCTTGGTTGCCTGCATTAACTTGAAGTACCAGTGTGCAATAGTGCAACAAAAAGCTGTCATGTGGACATAATGCTTGGTATTGTAGCATTTTCATTAGAGTATTTTGTTTTAGTTTTATTTTTACAAATATGTGATGGGATGCAGCTCATTTATCAGCCAATTGATTTTCTGTAGCTTGCTTCAGGCTAAACTACATATATCTACAGGCATGATAATGCAGCTAAATCAGATTTCAAGGCAGGCTATTATCTGGCACAGTTGAGCCTGCATTGTGGACATGAAAGTCTCCTTAGTGCCAAGACTCTAATCTGTGATGTAATCAAGAGGAAAAGCTTGGCATTGCTCCAATAACAGGAGACTGATTCTGTGGGCACAGTGACAGCACCCTTAGTTGATTTTCTGAGGAGAAGGCGCTACAGTCATTATTCCAAAGCTATGGTTTTCAAAATTTGACACTGCTGGCCCCACGTCAGACACCCCTCCACCACGACAGTTCTCATAATTCCATAGGGGATTTTGACAGAAAATATATTGTCGCCATGCATTCAGTGAGTTCCAATGTGGGCTACAACCCATTTTATAGTCTACATCTGTTTATATTTCGCCACCATTAAAAGCAGAATTAGCTATTAGACGTTCCTGTTAGTTCCAGTACACTCATGCTTGATTACTTTTATACTGAAGAACACTTAAAACCATGGAGATAATGATACCCCCAGAAAGTGTAGGCTGAATTTGAACATGTGTGTTTTGACTCAGAGTCTGAATTTTGGTGCAAATTGCAACAATTACGGACCGAGGGCGTTAAAGTACCTTAACTGGCTCCATGAGTGTGAGCAGGCCAAATCAGCAGCCAATTCTGATATATCTTTAAACCTTTAATCTGCATTAATAGAATTTGTTTAGGGGGCACACAAACAAGTTGTAAACACAAAACCAAGAATGTACACTTTCAAGTTGTTATGACTAATGGGTCAGCAAACAGTTGCTCTGTTTCAGTCTCCAGTAATTCGTGCAAAAATAACTGGCTGTTTAGCAGCTAAATGCCCCACTATGTTCACCAGCTAGTTCTTAACTTTCTCTGTGTGCTGTGTGGTGCTGAGCAGGCAGCGGGCAGTAGGTTTATCAGAGCTTGTTGTGGCAGGAAACAAGGTAGTTGAGAGCTGTGAGCAAAACAGTAACGTTGGGGGCTGTAAAACTAAAAACAATGTACTGAAAGATGTTAAAATGCTCTGTGGAGCTGAGGGGAACTGTAAGTTGATGCTCTTTGAGTTCTTCACTGCAAACAGCACTTTTCACATACACATAGTGATTTGGTCCATTTTTAATATATAGATTTTGGGCAAAGCAGCTTTAATCAGATACCAGGACTTGAATAAGTAAAAGAATGAGTGGAAACACGCACGCTCGGGAACTGAAGTACTTTGTAGTGCACCCTCCAGTATTGTGGCACCTTGAGGAAAAAAAACACCCACTTGGAAGTGAGTATATGTGAACTGGCACACCCAAAGTCTTCAGGGTCATTAAAGACAAAGGAGCCTACCTCCTTTTATCTGGGACTATGTCTTCTGTCATTTCTGGCTCCAGTGACAACTCTTCAGAGTGAGATCTGTGGATTATCCAGAGTATTAGAGAAATTATTTCTTGACAGATATTTTGAGATTTTTTAAATGTAATTTTTCATTTATTGCAAATTCACCTCCACTGTACTGGGTTGGAGGCTGAAATCCGTACTCTCATAAGGCCAGAGTCAGGTGATATGGGTTAGAGGTCTGGGGATTTTTCACATGTACAATTTCCTGTAACATTTTGATCGTTTGCCCTGGCTGTAAATTAAAAACCTCCAGCAGGGTGGCCCCGCTGGACTGATGTTAATGTGGGGTCAATCTCATCTGGAGTCTCAACTCTCAAGCCTCATGCTCAATTTTGATTTGTCAAGATCTTTTATTTCCTTCTCCCCTTCTTTTGTGAAAAATGAGGGGAGCAAAGACTGTAGCTGCAATCCATTGTTTTTAATTTAAGTGAACATCGTTTCCTGTGGTCACAGGAAGCAATGGGGTTTATGGGAAATTATGTCCTCTTATTTTGATAATCCATTGTTCCAACAGAGCTGCAGACATGAGATAGAGGGAAGTAATCATCTTGACTATGGTGTCATTTAATTATGGACTCCTAATTATAAACCATGGTTTCATGGTTATCTAAAAATGGTCCTTTGATGTTACATAGGCCATACATATAAAATGTTTGAAGTTGAACCTCCTCCACAGCCTCTATTTTAATCCACAATGTTTGTGTCATCTGGGTCATATTCATTTTATAATTGGACTGTACTCAGCTGTAATTCTTTATTTTACGGCCACCCAAACAGTAGCAAATATTAGTAAATGTGAGCCAGAGGACTTAAGGTTTCTTTCAGATGATCTTGAAATACAATGTAATATTAATCAGGATAGAGGAAGCCTCATATCTGAAGCATGCTGATGGTTTTGCTTATATCTGCCCACGTGGTATCCCACAGATGTAGCCTATCTATAGATGCAAAATATAAAACAGTTTAAAGCACGGCCAGATTAAGCTACTATAGGGCCCAGGGGCAAAAATAACATGTTGGCCCCCTATTGGCCCCCTGTTTTTCCTGCTAATGTAGGGCACAGCCATAATTTATGAGCTAAATGCATCATTAACAGGCTCCTTCTGATGACATTTCTATTATCTTTGAACAATTGTGTTATTTATATAATCACATCCATTAATAAAAACACAACCATTTGTAACAGTACATAAAACGCCTTTTTGTTGTGGGAATTTGTGTACTAACTAATGCTGCAGGCCATCACACAACAGCATCAGAGAAGCAGAGATTGCATGCACTAAAAAAAAAGAGTGTTCATGTACCCAGAGCGTGATCTAAAGTTAGACTGATCTTTTTATTTTTTATTTTAAAGGTATCGGTCCTA